GTTAGACGTCCAAACACATAATCCAACCGGATCTTAATCTCGACTTTGAAATTCCAAATCTCTCGCACCATTCCTTTTCCAATTATCGAAAAAATTGACTATCAAAAACGCAGTTCCGAAGTGGGCAATCTTCGTTCAACCTCCTCTTCACCTTCCCGCAATAGATCATATACATCTGGAACCTCGAATCTCCCCAGAATACTCTTCCATGACCGCACGAGGAACCCTAATCCCATAGTTCGTAAAGTAAATCACCAAAAAATGACAAATCTTGAGCATCTTTAGGTCTTCGTGAACGTCGCCTTGCTCATCGAGCATTTTAAAAAAAAAATTGATTAAGTGATTATATATCAATTTAAGGTAAACAGTAATATTCGATCGGTAGTTAATATCCATATATTTTTTTAGAAAAAAGGAAATGGCAGAAGCAAGTAAATAATTGGAAAAGCATAATCCTAATAGAGATTATGCTTTAATAGTATAAATTAATAGGTCTCACCAAAAGCTATGGATTTAATCATTAAAATTCTTAAAGACTATTTCTTAGTGAATCCTTACACTATTTGCGGACATCCACAATACATGGCGGTGCACAATTGATTATTTTTAATTTTTATTTTTATATTTGAAAAAGAAAAAAATAATAATTAAAAACTCAAAATCTAAAGACTCTGATGGATAATACCATTACGGATGCTCTTAAAGCATATGCAATGGTGAGGTTCACCAATGAATCCTTAGAAATATTTTAGTAATTTTTTTTTAGTTTTTGTTTGAATAGTTAAGCATTCGAATCAAAACTGGTCGTCCAATGGTGTTTCCAAGATGCAGTCCTTAGGGAAAAAAATATTAATTTTTTTTTTAAATTGAAATTTATTAATTGCATGATTAAATATAAAGATATAAAGATACACTAATTGTTAATTTTCATCACCAAATTTGTTTTAAATATTTTCGATTAAATCATTCTTCAATTGTTCATGCATATGGCTATCACGAAGATCATTCCGATCGGGAAACGTATTATTCAGATTTGTAGGTCTCTCGGTTTCGACCTCTGAAATTCTGGTGACGTCTCCTTCTTCAAATTCTGAAATATCGTACCGCATGTAACCATCTCGTTCATTTTCAACTATCATATTGTATAGTATGATACATGCTCTCATAATCTTTCCTATCTTTTCTTTGTTCAATGTACGAACCGGGTTTTTAAACAATCGCAAATCGAGCTTGCAATACTCTAAAAGCCCGCTCCACATCTTTTCGGGCTGCTTCTTGAACTTTAGAAAATAACTCTTGTTTAGGAAACTGAGGGAATGTGATAGATTGGATAAATGTTAACCATTTTGGATATATACCGTCTGTGAGGTAGTATGACAACTTATACATGTGTCTGTTGACCACGTACCTTACCCTGGGAGCTCGACCTTCTAAAATGTTATCAAACACAGGAGACCGATCGAGGACATTAATACCATTTAAGGTATCCGGAGGACCTAAAAAGCATGTCATATCCAAAGATCGTGTGAAGTTACAACCTCTAAGACAATTTTTGGTTTTTTTGATCCACGTGTGTATTGTCCTTTCCAAGCGGCCAGGTAATTTTTAGTAGTCAACTATTCTCTTCCAGAAACGTTCAGCTTTCTGGTCCCAAGCAGGTTCGGGTGACTCAAGGTCAACTGAAGATTGACTATACATTAGATTAACAAACCCAGTTCTGGTATTCATGTTTAGATGATGGTCTGTGTTACTCTATTAGCAACACATACACTTAAGTAAGCGGTAGAAAGTAAACTAGCATTTAGGTTCGGAGTAGTTAGGCAAATAGAAAGCAAACAAGCATTTACCACCACTCAAATCAGACTAATAAGTTCTCTACTAGCTACACTTAAAGCTAACAAGAACGATTCTATCAAATCTAAGGAGTTAGGAAGCAATACTAGCATTAAAAACCATTAAAGCATGACCAGTATAGTTATTTTTTATTCACTAACATTATTTAAGCTATATGTTTTTATTATTGAAACTAAAAAGAGTGAAAGTATTGTACATGTGAAGCCCATCTCGAGTTCAGACACTGTTATTTAAATCCTCCGAAGCTCTTTTTTAAAAGACATAAGATAATACACTTAAAATTTTTAATTTATAGTCAAAGATATTATCTAAATAAGGAATGAAACTTACCAGCCCATTACGATGACCAGTATTACCAAGACCAGTAGACAGACTTCCTTTGCAAACCCATATTTAACCACTCATTTCTTCTTAGTTAACACACCCACGATCTTTTCTAGCTTAGCCATCTTCTGGTCACTCTCAAAAAATTGATCCTTGAGCATCCTAAGTTATATCTGCATTTCACGAAGTTCTTCTTGAATCGTCACATCCCACCATTTCTAGATGTGAATGAATTTTTTTTTCACAAAGCCAAACACAATAGCTCACCGAGTCAACCATCAGACGCCACGTGCACAAGGACTTGATCATTCTATGCCTTATTTACGGACTGATCCGTCATAATCTTAGCTCAATTATCAATATTATATTCCATTTGGATTAAGGACTTGAACTACGGACTCGTCTTGGACCGCCGTTGCGGATGGTCTTGGACCGCCGTTGCGGATGGTCTTACTTTCGACGACTGGATATAGAAAATTTGTTTGTTAATTTAACAAAACTGTATGAATTATTTTTAAGTTTTCACAAATATAAAAATAAAAATAAAAAAAAATTGTGATTATATTATTAATATTTCACTATAAATATAAATTAATCAAATAATAAAGAGAAATATATATGTAAATGATAGTAAAACAATAACAAAAAAAACAAAAACAATATGGGTTTCAAAATAATAAGAAAATAATTATAATGAATAATTTATTAATCAAATTTTATGATAAAAATAATCTAAAATAAAAAGTGTTTTATTTATTGAGTCCATGATAAAAATAATCTAAAAACGTGATAAATTTCACCAAATAAAGTTGAGTCCATGATATATATTCTCAGCTCACTAAATTATCGTGGCAAAAGTGCTAACCCGTCAACTTTGATTGAGAAACGTGATTGTATAGTGTGGTATAAGAATTCAGTTTTTTCATTATATTTTTACATCAGTTACTTGTGTAAGATACTCTCTTACTTTGAAAGCCATACATTTTTCTCTGCAACGAGTTAACTTTTGGGGTCAGAGAGAAGAGTAGGTGAAAGTATCAAATGTAGACTATGTAGTCACTACTAATAAAGGTGTGCCAAAAAAAAAAAAAAGTCACTACTAATAAATAGGGGTGGGCGCTTGACTTGCTATTTTGCATGTACTTGCGACTTGACTTGCCTTGTACGAATAATAAAATTTTCGACTTGTACTTGACTTGTTTAAAACGAGTACTTGCTATTTCGAGTACTTGATGAAAAATAAATGACTTGCAAATTACTTGACTTGCTCCATTACTTACTATTTACGAGTACTTGTGAACTATTTACGAGCTTTTTCGGAATATTTAAGAACTACTAACTAAATAATATTATGTTAGAAATAGACATGAAAATTTGTTTTCTTTATTCTACTTAAATTAACATGTAAATTATTTTAAACAGAATATTTATTCATATTATAAAAAAGATAAATTAAAAAATGCATATTACGGTATATAAACATTGTATAATGATCACGATTACAAGAATATCTTCTCTAAATAAGTAACAAGTAATAACAAATCATATAACTAAATTTTTAATATTTGCTGCTGTGTAATACTTGACTAGATAACGACGAGTATTCAAAGATCAAGATTGGATACAAAATAAGTAATAAGTATAAGAAAAATAGTGAGTTTTAATGTCTAGTTCTATCTTATATATTAAAACAGAAGACATGACTTGACTTCATGTGTGATTTTTTTAAAAAATGGACTATTACTGGAAAGTCATGTTACATAAACTCTTTAATAATCTTATCATTATTATATCTTATGAGAAATCATATCTTTTATAACAATGATACGCTTAACAATCTGGTTTTGATAAATTACCCCATACCTTCCAACTTAGTCACGCAAAATATGTCAATAGATATAAGTTTAGGAATCTTCTATTATTTAGAAGGAAATATGTCAATAATAATTAAATGCATCCACAATATATTAACAAAAATCACATATTCGTAATATGGAATATTTATATACCATAACAAAATTTACACGCTATATATACTAGATAAATTTATTTCAATGTAAAATTTTATAATTATATATTGTTTTAGAAAAAGAAATTGTTTAAAAAACTTTTTTTGAATAAAATTATTTATAATATTAATTTATGAAGCTACAAGTTTAGTTTTTAGCAAAAAAATTCTTCGAAGTTTATATTATCTTTGCAAATTAAAGTATACTAATATTTAATCAAGCTCTATTTATATTACTTTATCTAAAAATGAAATACTAATCTAACAAACAATAAAATATAGAAGAAGAAACAAACACATGTTTGAAAAACATGTATAATATAGAAAATTTAAAACAATCTATTTGATTAAAACACATATTATATAATATTATTATGTTTGAAATATATTTACTATACATATCGTAAATATGTGATTACTATAATATATATCAATTTACAAGTAAAAAAAAAATGTTTATATAACTAATTATAAATGAAAACAAACACCCGCGCGGTTGCGCGGGTCAAAATCTAGTATGCAAGTAAAAGAAAAGACAAGTATGAAAAACTAATTAATAGATCATGTAACAAATAGCAAGTAATGGAACAAGTAACGCGGCGGAACGAGTCAAGTACAAAAAATAATAATGATATTTGATACCTGACTTAGTCTTGCAAGTAATGAAAATTGTCGCCTTGTTACTTGCCTTAACAACATCGAGTACTTTAATTTTTCAAGGCGGGTACGAGTCAAATACCGAGTTTAAGGCGAGTAACGAGTAATGATGCCCAGCCCTACTAATAAAGAGATATATTATAACATAAACAACGCACGCCGAAACAGAATCATGGTTGAATTTAGGTTAAGAAATCACAAAATTGGAACAAAATATCTCTTCTTTACAATACTCAGTTACAATAATAATAATAAAATCACGAGAAGGAACAGAACACTGACAGCTAAGGTAAACACAAGAATCTAATCCATTTCAGAGATCATGTACAAGAACAGACCAAGATCCAAACTATTCAGACTTGGCAAAACTCAAGGATACGTCTCAACGTGAAGCTTTCCAGTCTCGGACAGGTTAAAGCAGAGAGCACCTGAAAGAATGTTCAAAAGAAACCGAATTACATAAGAAGGACCTCTTGAATAAGAGCTTAGCCTGAAGTTTCAATTTCTTTTCCGTGATCTTCAGAAAGATTCCTCTTCAATCTTCTCAACCATATCCCATAGTCCAACGGATACGGTGTCCCACATAGACTATCAACATAGTCAGAAAAAGCTTTCAAAATAGTCGAGACATCACCTAGCTTCTGCTGAATCAACCTTTTAGACCAAGACGTCTCTCTCCACTGAAGAGCTCCTTCAACTGAATCCAATTCAGGCAAGTCTCCAAAACAGAAGTAAAGCATGTATATCAAACTCTCTGCATCTGAGGCAGCACAAAGCTTCCCTTCCTGGAGTGCGTAGGTAGAAGAGAAGTGAAGATTCATTGCAGGTCTATCTCTATCCTCAAGCACAGCATGACCCCAACCTATTAATACAAAGTAAGGATGTTTTACACCTGAAGTGACATAGACTATGTTCTCTGGTCGGATGTCACCGTGGCGGATTCCAGCTGAAGAGGAGGATGAAAGTGCAGATAAGCAATCATGGCAACATCTAATGGCTTCTTCTGAACCAAACCGACCCTCGTTTACCATATCAGATACCGTCTCACCAACGGGAGTGGTCACAAGAATGGGAGTTCCGCACCAAGGATGGTCACACCGTCCACCTGAGCTTGGTTTTTGACATTGTCCCGGGTGAATAATCCGACCAGAACCATGGAGCTGCGGCAAGTATTTGCTAGAGAGTCCTCTCTGTTTCATAGTACTTACTATTTTAGTTTGTCTCTGCACCTGATACCATAAGTTCATGTCTTCCCAAGCTGGCTCAAGCTGTGAAGGAGGAGAGCCAACGTAAAGAAACACAGACTTCCCTGCTTCATCCACTGGTGATGCGATATGATAAGGAAGTGTACCGTTAGTCAACACTTGGTTAATCTGATATCCTTTTTGATAGTTTGAATCCTCCAACCAAAGTACCGATCCAACTTCAAGTTTCATCAACGCTTCAGACTTAACTTTACTCGATTCTTCTTGCACTTCGACGATTTCAGGAGACATGGTTCTTTGCTGGAGCCTAAACACACCATTCTCACTAAGACCAGTATCCCCTAACTGCCTCTCCTGTCGTCTAGAGTGAACACGAGAGCTATGGTCAGCAGCTAAGTCTTCAATGGACTGCCTAGGTGGTCCAAAGTACTGCATTATACTATGGTAAGTAGCGAAAACTAATTGCAAAGCACCAATGTCTCTCCAGTTAGCATTCCCAAGCTTGTTCCATATCCTATCAATGGGAGACACAGAGATCTTTGAATGGTTCTTAACCCACTCCGCAGCGCAGTCATAAACATTATTAACATCGAAATCAAGCTTATTCACATCCCCTTCGACCTTAACAACTCCCCCATATTGCAAATCAACGAGAAGAATGTAAACACAGTTTGAGCTTTGAGAAAAATCCAACCGGCTCACACTTCTTGAGATAAGTACACGGAGAGCATAGAAAAGAGCTTCTCCTAAGACAGGTAACGAAGGCTGATGACTTCCAACTTCAGGTCTTAGAAGAGCAAGTTCAAGAACATGATCCCACTTCCCATGAGGATGCCGCGGATTCTTCAGCAACACACCAGTTCCTGAAAGACCATCAAGCTTCCCAAGAGCTAAAGCCTTCTCAGTCTGATAAAACTTCAGATTCTCACTAAACAAACACTTAACAGAGAAAGGAACCGGCTCTTCTTCCTCCTCCTCCTGACTACTCCAAAACGCCTCCCAGAGGCTCTTAACCGTCGCGTGGAGGAAGTCTTCCACTGCTAGATAAGCATTGGCTTCCACGGAAGTGGAAGTTGATGCGTAGACAGCGTTTGGCATTCGAGTTAGCTGCTGAAAGGAGACTCCTTCTAATGCGTAGTCGAATTTTTGCAGCTCAACTAGCTCAAAAGGAGGTTCAAAGACCGGTTTATCATGGTTTTCTGATACTGAATCAAACCAATCTTGGAGCTTGATAGTGAAATGGTCACTGTTGGTGAACCTGGTGAGGAAGTCTCGTTTTATACGAGATTTGCTTCCTGATGAGACGCTTGATCGCTTTGTGGTTGTACCAGACCCGATTGATTCCAGGTCTGGAGATGATTTAGCTGTAAGAAATTAGGAAACTTTTAAATCAAATCATTACAGAACATGCCAATGTCTTTGCGTAAACAGAGGAATCAAAAGCAGACAGTGAGAAATAGAATGAACAATCAAAAGCTTTCAAATTGAAGTGACTGGATTCGCTTCATATTCAATTCTCTTTTAAAGTGTTATCAAATCATTACAAGAACATGACACTGTCTTTGCATAGTTTCTGTCTTAAAGCAGACAGTGAGAATAAAACAATCAAAAGCTTTCGAATTGAAGTTAATGGAAGTAAATTCGATTCATATTCAGTTCTCTTTCAAAGTGTTATCAAATCATTACAGAACATGACACTGTCTTTGGATAGCTTCTGTCTTAAAACAGAGGAATCTAAAGCAGACAGTGAGAATAAAACAATCAAAAGCTTTCGAATTGAAGTGAATTTGATTCGTATTCAGTTCTCTCTTCAAGTCTTTATCACTAAGGTATCGATTCCAATCGAGATCAGATTTAGGGTTTGAAAGGATTTGATCGAATCTAGGGTTCTAGAAACGAAATCTGAGAAAGAAAGAAACGAACCTTCCATTGAAGAAGAATGAGAATCACAATCTTCTTCTTCTTCAAGTCTCTAGTCTCTTTCTCTCTGTAGCTTTCTTCGTCGTCTTCGCGTTTTCGTTGAAGATTCTCTTTACGACCTGAGTTCGAATCCTAGCTGACATGTTTTGTCTTGTCCTTTTTTATTCATTTTTATATTCATGAAATTCTTTTGGGTAGTTTTGTTTGGTATATGTTTAATTATTTTAAATTATAATACAGGTCGAAAGTACGAAACACTAACAATTATTGACCAATAAAATTAGTAGGGGCTTCCGTGGAAAGACTGTGGTCTTACTGTACTGTATATTCAAATTAAAATGGATTCTCTAAATTTTTACACAAGAACCACAAGGATTTTATATGAAAATGAAATTCAGATGAAAAATATTAAAGCTGTAATTGGTACACTTTAAAAGATATTTAATAAAATTTATAGTAATGAAATAAGATGAATCCATTTTATTTATTCCTTAACAAAATTGTTGTGGAAGATTTTGTTTTGTATTTTGTCGAATAGATGGAATGCTCATTTCATTTATGTCAAATGGTAGAAAATGTTTATAAAATTATTAGAACATGATTCCACACCATTCCATTTCAAAAAATGGTTAATCTAGTTACAGCCTAAGGGTTATTTTTCAGAAATACATAATCTGTTCAAAGATGCAACTACTCTATCTACCACAAAGTCTCTAGTGAAACTAAAAATCATACATTTTTAAAACTATGTTTAAAAACTGCAGACGTAATCAAAAACGAAGTGAGAAAGTCACAGGTAGAGTCCACTGCCCATACTACCGTAACCGTTTGTCAAAGCATAGAGCTCATAGAGTTTGTGGTTGGAAGAGATTTTTGTTGGTTACATAATTCGCCAAATCTAAGTCATGTGAATTGGGAAGTTTACAAATGTTTCCAACTTGTGCTATCACCAACACTTCAAGAAGCCTTCACCAGTCAAGCTTTTTGCTTGCATGCCTTCTTTCACTGCATTGTGGACAGAACCTTCACACAGAAGAACACTGTGTATTGACTAACCACAAACATATTAAACTTAGTTTAAGGAAAAGCCAAAACATTGACAATCTTCCTTAAAAGACCACTTGTTAATGCATGCTAATGTTGACTTATATTTCCCCTGTGAAGTGAGATATGGTTGAAGAATGATATTCCCACATTACTAAAAGTTGAAACCAAATAAATATAACAACATGACATCATGACATGGCTCTGAATCACAAGCTCAGTATACCAGTTTTAAGAAAACAGAGTGAATGCCTAATAGAAAAGCCGATATATGATGAATTGATGGGCATACAAATAAATCAGATGAAGAAGTGCATACAAATTATTGGGGAGACTTTTCATACAAAGAAAATTTATTGGGGAGGAACTTTCAGACATAAGTTTTGGACCATCCCAGCTCCTCTCTCGTCTCTATTTGATTTCGCTTTTTCCAAATTTCACTTTAAAGTCTTTATCATATCAGACTTATAATACTCAATTTCTTGTTATATGTAACTTTTGTTCACTAATATATTATAGTTTCTATAATCAGGGTCTCTCGGGTATCACACTTAAATTGTTAGAATGTACCTGAATGTCTGTCATATGTGTGAGGCTTAGACCTTAATGTAGAAATTGCAATAACTTGTAAAGATCCCAATGCACTTGAGTTTCGTTGGACGTAACAGAAATATCAAAGCATACAAGAACGTCAACTAGTTCAAATTAATATATAAGAAGAACAATCTATATTATCATAGTAGACTTTCTAGGCTCCACAGCGCGCCACGTCAGCAGTTTTCTGGGTCCCGTAGATATTTTTTAAACACCCATAGTCTTGGTAATATGATCACAAACAATGAAATACACTTTAGCCAAGTGGTATAAGGTATCTAATTAATTATGCAAGATCGTGGGTTCAAACCAATCAGCTATCATGTATTTTTGATTTTTTTATTTGGGTTATTATCATATGAACTTTTTGTTTATAAGGTTTTTATGTTTTTTTTTTGCTTATTGTTTTAAAGATCAAAATAGTTGGATAAACCCAAAATTTTAACAAGTTCAAACCCAAAATAGTTAAAAATGAATCCAAACGAACAATTAAAAAAAACAAAAAAAAAACAAAAAAAAAACAAGTCTCACGCGGATGGCTTATAGAACCTTAAAACTATCCTATTATAATATAGCTCAACCCAAAAATAATAAAAAAAATAAATCCGAAAACGAACAGACAAAAAAAAAAAGTGAATTCCACGCGGGTGCCTACGTGGATGGCTTAATGAGACTTGAATAATATAGATTAGGAGCTCAAAAAGTTAAATCATTGCACATATTTCCTAATATATATTTTCAAAAAATTTGTATGTGAGATAAAATAAAAAAACAACAAAATTAATTATTTTCGTTATTTATTAAATGAATATATAATTTCTCTTACATTTTAATAACTACTATAATTTCATTGAAAACATTCCTCACCACCGATTCCAGACTCCGGCGAACCCACAGTCGATAACGCCGTAGATAAAAATGCCACATCATTTATGAACAAAACTCAAACTTACAAAAAACCATATATAAAAACCTATCTAATGAAACTTAAACAACGAATATTAACTTAATTAAGGTTATTTTCAAATTGATAAATCATTTAATACAAATATAAATACTATAAATATAGAATTATATCAATTTTTGATCTACGATATAAAAACTATTTACAGCAAAAAAACACCTACTTTTACACACTAAAAACTATATTATAGCCTAACTATTCCCTTAAACTTTTTTTTTTTTTGAATTGAATGTTAAATTTAATTCAAAAGAAAAAGTACCTTGTTACATCATGTGTTACCTTTCTAAAATTTACTTCCAAACTACAAAATTTTAAAAAACTCAAGCCATCCACAAAGCTAGCCATCCACGAACTCCACACCAAAAAAGCCATCCACACCCAGCCATCCACGAACTCCAATCCAATTCCTAAACATTCTCAACTAATCCTCCACCCAGCTCTCACTCCTACTGGGCTCCAGCACTCACTCCTACTGGATAGGAACCTAGCTCTCACTCCTACTAGGAGCCAGCTCTCACTCCTACTGGCCTAACCAACACCAACCAATCCAACTCAACTCAAACTTAAAAGAAAAAACAGCAAGGCGCTTATCGCGTAGCAAACCAATATCTCATCCCCCCTTCCATATCCAAATTACTATTTCTCTGCAAAATAGTAAACTTATTTCTCATGTTCTTATCAAGTCTCTTAATCAAAATTTCACTAGGCAAATGAGGCTCCTTGTGTCTCCTTCTATTCCTTTCTAACCAAATAGCATGCAAAGTAGACTGCAGCATATAACGAGCAACAAAGAGCTTTACCTTAGACCAGCTCATCCCCTCCGATAACATATGAATAAGACCAGACCAATTTACAGTGAATTGATCTTGTAATACACCCTTCATAAGGACCTCCCAAATATGCGCAGTGTACGCACATCCAAAGAACAAGTGATCAATAGTCTCCATAGTACTCTGACACAGTATACATGTTGTATCAGCATCAGTACTCCAAGAAGCCATACGATCCCCTGTTGACAGCCTGCCAAGAATTGCCATCCAAGTGATGAAAGCAAACTTCGGAGTTGCAAACTGGAACCAAACAGCCGAGTACCAAGAACAGATTTGATATTTCTCCCTGATACTAAGCCACGTATCCCGAGTAGAGAATCGTACTTTATACTTACCTCTGTTATTTCTCCATAATGATACATCCTCCTGCTGTATCCAACTCCTCTTATAACTCTCCATCTCCTCCTCCACTAAATTCAGAACAGGCATTCTATGACATTTCCTCCGGTGATTAAAACAGGCCTCAACTGTAGAACCCATTGCAATACCCAAGTCAAAATATCCTCTCCCGCCTAAGACTTCTTGCAACCTTCCCAGAGAAGACCAAGCTTCAAACCAGAAGGAAGCCTTCTTCCCATTTTTCACTTGCACTCTGTAAAAAGATTTAGCAATCTCTCGACATCGAAGCACCTTTCTCCACATCCAAGATCCATTTTGAGTATCTTCCTTGACCATCCAAATAGATCCCTTCCGAATCAAATAAGTTTTGATCCAATTTACCCATAAAGAATGAGCCGATAATATCCTCCATAGAAGCTTGAGACAGCATACAAGATTGACCTCTTTTAACGGTCTAACGCCCAAACCACCCTCCTGTTTTGTTTTACATATATCCTTCCATGCCACCTTCACCTTCCTACCATTCAACGCTGGACCAGACCAAAGAAAGTTGGAACAGATTTTCTCTATTTCCTTAACACATCCACTTGGTAATCTGAACGCAGCCATCCAAAAATTTGTTAAGCTCATAATCACAGAGTTGATAAGCTGTAATCTACCCGCGTATGAAAGAAACCTCCCAGTCCAAGACCCCACCCGTTTCCTGATTTTCTCAATTAAAGGTAGATAGTCTAGTACCGTCATCTGTTTTGTCACAAGAGGTAGACCCAAGTAACGAACTGGAAGAGAACCTGTTTGAAACTGGAAATCTCTAAGAACTTCTTCCCTTCGTTGAGTATTCCCAGCAATAAAAAGAGTAGACTTCTCTAAGCTTATCTTTAATCCACTCATTCTATCAAACTCCGCAAACACTCCTAATATGCCTTCAATAGAATTACGAGTCCCATCTGCAAACACCATCAAATCATCTGCAAAGCAGAGATGGGTAAGATCAAGATTTTTGCATTTCGGATGGTATCCAATCTTTCCACCCTGAGCAGCTTCATCAATCATTTTTGACAAAACGTTCATGCAGATGACAAAAAGATACGGAGAGAGAGAACATCCCTGTCTAAGACCCCTTTTACTTTGGAAATAACCAGCCAGTTCGCCATTTACCTGGACTGAAAAAGAGGCAGAGGTGACACATAGAACAATCCAGTGCAGAAACCGTCTAGGAAGACCCATAGCTTCCAAAGTTTTTAATAAAAAAGACCATTGAACTGAATCGAAGGCCTTTGATATATCAATTTGCATAGCACATCTCGAAGAAATCTCCTCCTTATGATAGTCCTTTAC